ACAGCATTTGTGCCATAGTTTCAAAGCTGGCAAAAACTGGTGAAAGGGCTTAAAACGCTACGCATGACGTGGACAGAACTGTTATTGTGACAAAGATTCAAACAACTTCTTGGCCTGATTTTTCAACTCAAAACGATCTTATATAAGTCATCGCGACGGCGAAAGGCCAGGGCGAGCGAACGTAAAACTCTTAACGACACATCTGAAGGAGACTTGAAAACCATATGACGAAACTTTCCCGAAGAACAAACTATCATCCAAACCTTGCTCTGTGTAGAGACAGGAAACTTTTCAAACCGGCTAACGGTTTAGTAAATAAGGAAAAGAGTTCTATCCGTTTTCGTAATGGCCGTGGCTTAAGCCCATGGAAAACGCATACTGAATGACATATGAAAATAAGTAAAATTCATCTGAAACTATTTGCTCGGTTGAACTCGACGGATTTAACAAAGGCAAGACGTTCGCCGACGAACAACGAAAGCAAGAAGGCCAACAACGGTGTTTCCATCGCGTTGCTCCGCGTCTGTCAAACGCCATCAAAGGAACCGATTATCGAACAGTTGACAATTTACACTCAAACTTAGTCTCGAAACCTTTTATTACCTTCGTCTTTGGGCTTCATTAGGTTTTGAATTTTGGGCAAGAAATTCTACTGCCAAAAACAGATGTGTATGCAGTGAGAAGCTGAGCGGCGACTGGCCAACACGCGAATGCAAACAACGGCTCGGGAAAGCTTCGACAACAGGCCAGCGACCCAGCCAACAGCCCAACAGTCCGCTGCAAGTGACCACTCTGCCATTCCCTCCTGAGTCTGCGCGACGGCGATTATCTAATCGCTTTATTTGACCGGTCAGTCGCCTCGACCGCCCGAAGCTATAAATAACTTCATCGAAAGCCCCTAATTTAGCCGTGTCCAGTCACCACCGATGTCCAGCCTCGTCAAGCGTATGCGTGGACACAATACCGACGGCTGAACGAAACTCGGCGTCGCTGCCGGCAACGCCATCTGGAAGGCCTACGTCAGAGGCGAGTGTGGGAAAGCAGAAATCGGGTGGCTTAGCTCCACGGTATGCGACGGTGTCATCGTGGCTGAGTCCGAAGCGTCGTCTCCGCGCGCCTACGCGTTACGGTAGCATAGAATTTAAACGCTTGCTTACTCCTACTCAATCTCGTCATTGGCGACGCAGTCGTTGTCGCTGGCGCCGCCGTGGAGCGTACTGTAGTTTTTCGAAGACGCTTCAAGTTGTTTTCACGCTATGTAACCAACGACGACAGCGACGATGACGAAGAAGGCGATGGATGACCTTGGGTGTCCGTCGTCGGCCATCCGTCCGGTCCATGCTGCAATGACGCCGTTGAGGGCGAAGGGAAGGGGACTTCGAGCGCCTGTAGGCCAAAATTAGGCTGACCTGCCGCCGGCTTCGCGCGATTGGTGGTGCATGGCGCAAAACCAGCGTCTTTCCTTTAATTGCGTTACAGTTCTGCTCGACCTCCTCCGGTTGCAGCAGCAACAGCAACCACCGCTCTCGCTGGCCTATCGAAATTGGGCGTTCCATAAATGGCGCAATCCACCACACATTTCCCGCGACGCTTCTGACGCGTCGTTTCTTCCATCTCTGCCGCTGCAATTTATTCCATATGTACTACAACACGTGGGAAGAAAGCAATCTTGTAGTAGCTAGGAGAAATATTCTTCATAATTTGAAATGTCCCTTAGAGCGCAACTTCAAGGTGGAGTGGTT